TGAGATCACGAACATTAGGGTTATTCTAATGGCATCAATAATTATTTCATAAATATTTACGTTATCATTAGATTCAACTAAATATTAGACAATCTAATGAATAGCTTTGTTTGCTTTCATTTATTGAGTAATAGGTTTTCACGTATTTAGCTTTAAATAGATTTATATCGTTCATCTGTTCCTCAAAACTGACAATCATTTTATAATGAATTATTGATATTTAGTTCAATTAAGAACTTTATGAGCCGTTGACAACGAGATGAAAGGACTTTATGATTAGTTTTAATAATTGTTTGAATTTAAAATATGATGATTGTATGCAACGATATAATTAAGCTATTTTTATAAATATCTGAATATTTAATGACTTGAATAACTTTTGTTAAGTCTTCAATAAAGTAGTCTAACAATAATAATAACATATTTAGTTAACATTATTCTTAATCAATATTTAACAAATGTTATTAAATAAACATGTTAATTAATTATCTCGCACAGATTTTATAAAATAATGTTATTAATTGATTGATTGAATTTTTAGGTTCGCTTATATATAATCGACTGTTTTTGGTTAGAGGGCGTGAAAGTGTTGTTTCGATTCAGTTTAGCGTTGATTAAAATGGGATCAAATGCCTGTTGCGATGAAACGAGAAGTTCAGGCGATTTGATAACGAGTATCCGAGAAACGGCTAAAAACTGTTTCGATTTCATTGAACTCAAGAAAATAGCGTTCAATGAAATAAAACTACCGAAAAGAAAATATATGGCAACAAAACGATCGTTTTATGTCAAACAAATCAATTCACAGTTAGAAATGTCTGTTCAGATGGACAACAAAGAGTCGGCCACTCAATGGATTCGCCGAAGAAGTAGCGAATTGTTAGGTTTGAGAAGTAATGGCACGAGAATTGACTACAGAATTGTCATCAGTTCTGATCGTTCAAAAGTTGCCGTTTTCGCCAAAAATAACCGATTTATTAACGAAATGTCAATACTTTACGCCCAAAACGAAGCCAATAATTGCAAAACTCAGTTATTCCTGAAAAATGCTTTTATTATTGGTATAACAAATGATGCAAAACGTGTGATATGTAGTCATTATTCAACTAAAAATGCATCCAAAATGAAGAATGGCATCAAAATTGATTTAATTGCCATTAGTTTCGACATTTGCGACGGCTTTTATTTAGAGGACTCGGATTCGGCTATAATTATCAGTACATCAGGACTGGTCTGTAGGCATAGATTGGGCCGAAAACAGACCGACAGTTCAATTATGTTCAATAATAAACTATCAAAAATAGTTTCGGCCGATTTGAATGCCTCGTACGGACTCGTTTGGTTGGACACACTCTCACACAATAACAATACCCATAAATTCATTGCGTTTGACATCAATAGTCTCGACATTTACACCACTATTGAAACCGATTGCTTCAGTATTCATAAGTTCTCAATCAATGCATGCAATGATAGATCAGTAATAATAGTAAAAAGCGATCCAATCAATGGTAAACTCAAGAAAGCGATTGATATACTGATGAGTGACTCACATAAGGAAAGATTCTTTGACTCTCACGAAGAGATTTTTGATATGAAATGTTTCTCTTTCGACGACGATGTTGGGAATTCCCGCGCGGGACAGAAGACCGCGATAGATATGTCTCACTAATTAAGGTAACACATATTTATTATTCATTTAATTCTGTTTAATTTATTAAACTTATATTTCAATAATATTCTGTATATTACTTAAGGAATTGAGAGAAGCGTTTGATGGGGAGGCGAAGGGATCGTCCAAAACAAGATTACTGTTGACGGCTGCAGTTCCGGCCAGTTTTGAAGCGGTCACCAGTGGTTTCAATGTTCCCGAACTCAATAAGTAGTTAATGTTTGTTCAATTAGTAATTCAAAAGTAATGTTAAAATTCTCGTTAAAATGTAACAGATATCTAGATTTCATGAATATTATGAGTTATGACTTTCACGGCGATTGGGAACAATCAGTGAACCACAACTCACCCCTCTTTTCATTAAACACGGCGTCTGGGTATCAGAAAAAGCTGACCGTGGTATATATTGTTGAATCATTTTGATTATATTTTACTACAAATATAATTTATCATTACTTAATAAGGACTTTAGTGTTGCCGAATGGGTTAATAAGGGCGCCTCCAAAGAGAAGTTGGTGGTAGGACTGCCCACATATGGTATGTTTTTGAATGTTTATTTTTAATTACTTTTTTACAATTTACTTATAAATCACAAATAAAGGCCGCACTTTCACTCTGTCGAGTCCTAATCTCACTGATATCAACGCTCCGGCCATTAAAGGCGGTCTTCCCGGACAGTTCACCAGAGAGTCCGGATTCTTAGCTTTCTTCGAAGTAAACAATTTATTACTATTAATTTCCTATTAAAATGAGAATTAATTTAATCAAACAATTAAACCAAAGATTTGTGATCTCTTGAAAATGGGCGCCACATTGGTTTGGGATAACGAGCAAATGGTTCCGTACGCCTATTCCGGTGACCAATGGGTCCGTTCTTATCATTATTTGTGTGNAATCAAACAATTAAACCAAAGATTTGTGATCTCTTGAAAATGGGCGCCACATTGGTTTGGGATAACGAGCAAATGGTTCCGTACGCCTATTCCGGTGACCAATGGGTCCGTTCTTATCATTATTTGTGTGATTTTATTGAACTAATAATTTACATATGATTTTTTAGGTCGGATTCGATGATCCGAGAAGTTTTAAAGTGAAGGCAAGAAATTGTTTTATTATTTTTATTATTTATTTTTTAATTTGGATTTTATTCTCATCAAATCCTTTTTGTAAAACGTTAGGTTCAATGGCTTAAACAAGCTGGATATGGGGGCATTATGATCTGGTACAGTCTAGCACTACACCAATCAATGTGTTGCCATTCATATAAATAACTAATATATAAATATAATTGTGTTTCAGGTCAGTAGACATGGATGACTTCAGTGGCTCCTGTATGGGACAAAAGTTCCCACTCATACACGCGGCCAAAGAGGAGCTCAAGGGCTACAAAGTGGCCAATTTGGAGGCTCAGAGCAGTAACATTAATACCGCTCGCGGATCGGGTTTGTCATACATTAACCAAATTTATTGATCTCCTCATTAATACATTGTATTGAATATTGTATTCGCAGAGAAAAATAAAGATGAAGTAAAATGCGAAGAATCTGATGGACACATAAGCTATCATAAGGATAAGACCGACTGTCAGATGTACTACATGTGTGAGGGCACTCGCAGGCACCACATGCCTTGTCCCCAAAATCTGGTGTTTAACTTAGACCAGAGTGTATGCGATTGGCCCGAGAATGTTGAGGGTTGTGCGGTGGCCGCCACACCCGCCGCGTAACGCAATATACAAAAAACTAAATTTAAATTATATAAATTAGTTGAAGTGCCGAATATTTTACAATTATATTAATATTTTTTACAATTTGTTAAATTATAATTTTTATAGCACTTTAAAATGTTTTTTACATGTAATTTTTAATATATTTAATATATATTATTAGATATAAAAATACTCATTAGAAACTAATGATTTAATTAAAACATATTTATGTCTTTCATTGTTTATTTGGTTTTGTGTGATTTTTTTTATAAATATTTAAATTTTTAGTATATTTTATGAATTATAACAATATATACAAAGTTATGGTGAAGTTATTTAGATTGTTATTATGTTTTGAAAATCACCTTAAAGTCAATCAAATAGCTTTCACAACAATAGACAATAAGTGTAACATTGAAATCACTTTTTGTTTTGATTATTTTGACAACTTTTATGGCATTTATTTCAGAAATGTCTTTGACTTTATCAAAAGAAATCGTGGATTTATTCCACAAATTATTATATTTATATTCAATGAGAATATTAGCCGAATCTTTGGTCACTAATATTATCAATGAATTCTCTTCCGATTGTTTGGTTGAGTTGATTGATGTTTCGATAGTGTTTTCATTTGTGTCTCCAATGGTCTGAATATGGGTTTCGTCGTCGAAAGAGAAACATTTCATATCAAAAATCTCTTCGTGAGAGTCAAAGAATCTTTCCTTATGTGAGTCACTCATCAGTATATCAATCGCTTTCTTGAGTTTACCATTGATTGGATCGCTTTTCACTATTATTACTGATCTATCATTGCATGCATTGATTGAGAACTTATGAATACTGAAGCAATCGGTTTCAATAGTGGTGTAAATGTCGAGACTATTGGTGTCAAACGCAATGAATTTATGGGTATTGTTATTGTGTGAGAGTGTGTCCAACCAAACGAGTCCGTAATCGGCATTCAAATCGGCCGAAACTATCTTTGATAGCTTATTATTGAACATAATTGAACTGTCGGTCTGTTTTCGACCCAATCTATGCCTACAGACCAGTCCTGATGTACTGATAATTATAGCCGAATCCGAGTCCTCTAAATAAAAGCCGTCGCAAATATCGAAACTAATGGCAATTAAATCAATTTTGATGCCATTCTTCATTTTGGATGCATTTTTAGTTGAATAATGGCTATATATCACACGTTTTGCATCATTTGTTATGCCAATAATAAAAGCATTTTTCAGGAATAACTGAGTTTTGCAATTATTGGCCTCGTTTTGGGCATAAAGTATTGACATTTCGTTAATAAATCGGTTATTTTTGGCGAAAACGGCAACTTTTGAACGATCAGAACTGATGACAATTCTGTAATCAATTCTCGTGCCATTACTTCTCAAACCCAACAATTCGCTACTTCTTCGGCGAATCCATTGAGTGGCCGACTCTTTGTTGTCCATCTGAACAGACATTTCTAACTGTGAATTGATTTGTTTGACATAAAACGATCGTTTAGTTGCCATATATTTTCTTTTTGGTAGTTTTATTTCATTGAACGCTATTTTCTTGAGTTCAATGAAATCGAAACAGTTTTTAGCCGTTTCTCGGATACTGGTTATCAAATCGCCTGAACTTCTCGTTTCATCGCAACAGGCATTTGATCCCATTTTAATCAACGCTAAACTGAATCGAAACAACACTTTCACGCCCTCTAACCAAAAACAGTCGATTATATATAAGCGAACCTAAAAATTCAATCATCAATCAATTAATAACATTATTTTATAAAATCTGTGCGAAATAATTAATTAACATGTTTATTTAATAACATTTGTTAAATATTGATTAAGAATGTTAACTAAATATGTTATTATTATTGTTAGATTTAACATAGATTTATTGAAGACTTAACAAAAGTTATTCAAGTCATTAAATATTCAGATATTTATAAAAATGGCTTAATTATATCGTTGCATACAATCATCACATTTTTAAATTCAAACAATTATTAAAACTAATCATAAAGTACTTTCATCTCGTTGTCAACGGCTCATAAAGTTCTTAATTGAACTAAATATCAATAATTCATTATAAAATGATTGTCAGTTGTGAGGAACAGATGAACGATATAAATCTATTTAAAGCTAAATACGTGAAAACCTATTATTCAATAAATGAAAGCAAACAAAGCTATTCATTAGATTGTCTAATATTTAGTTGAATCTAATGATAACGTAAATATTTATGAAATAATTATTGATGCCATTAGAATAACCCTAATGTTCGTGATCTCACTGCCTATAAATATATCCCTCATTTTAGCAAATATTACACATATATTAATGTGTAATTAATAACAAATAAAATAAATGAAACGAAACTAAACGCTAGAGAGTGACAACAGATGCACGCGTATAGGCGTATAGGTTAGTACGTGTGATAGGCATAGGCATAGACACAACACAGGCCTCGGCACTACTCGGCACGTGCCCCAGACCAACATGAGCCAACATGAACCAGGTGTTATTCATTGCTAAACAGGTAATACACGCATCAATAGTAAGGCTGTGCTCTCTTTAATTTAGTAGTACTGACGAGAGTAGTGAGGGATCAGTCCTACAAATGCATTAAAGTAAGGCATCTGGCATTCAGAGCCACGCGACACATGCCGGCCATACAACAGACCCATCAAGTGATGCCACTCTCACTACAACTGGTCATTGAAAGGGCAGATGCGATGCCAAAGTCCAAACTCTTTCAAAATGTTTGTTAAAAGTGCTATAATTATGTGCTCTAAGAAACACATGTGGAGATCGTTTCGCTCTGAAACACATCTCTAATGAGTTTTAAACTCTTCCCTGAAATTGTTATTACAATTGATATTTTCATGAGTTGTTAAAAACTTTTTGAACTTCTATTTTGTAAACTTTTGATAAAAAATCAAATTTTATATTTGATTTGAATTAAGATATAATCTTAAAAGTATTAAATGCAGATGTTTTTGTTGTGTAATGAAAAGCTTTTTTGAATTTCAAACAATTGCTTCTTTTATTAGTTAACAGTAAACAGAAAAAGTCAACAAAAGTTTGTGAACTAAGTCTTACGCCAAACGAAAAGATGTCTAAAATTAGCTTCAAATCGGAAACTCCTTTAAGCGCCTGATGTTAGCTAAACATTGCAAACAAATGTTGCCTCAACTCATTGTAATACAGTCTTTGCTAAATATCTTAAAGTTAGAAAACTTTATTTAAATTAAGTTATCAAAAAAGTTTTGATAATCGGATTAAACTGTTTATATATTTGAGTTGTATTTCCGGTAAAACACAAATTTGGTAATAATTTTAAAATAAATACATAACAATCCATAGATGTCTAACTGAATGTCAAACTGCATATAAGGCAGTGATGGGTAGTATTGGGCAAAAGGTTTTCAATTTTTAAAAATAAAATGAATTATTTTGTTTGATTTGAAAGTGATTTGAAAGCAACACAACTATTGCTATATTCAGTTGTATTTGTGAGTTTGCATTTTGTATACGGAGAGTGAGTATTGTTAAAACATTGAATGAATACATGGCTCGCGACCATTAGACTTGTGGTGTAGAATAACGCCAGAGGAGAGCCGATAGCATAGAGTGAAAGCCAGGGCAGGCCAGTGAAGGCGAGTGAATGCCAGGTGCAGTTGTTTAGCGTTGCAGTCAAGGGGGAGGGGAAGGAGGGGTCCACACGAGGGGCGCATACAGTGAAACGCGTGCTCGAGATCTGACGACGTGCTGCACGTATTGCTGGTCCTCTTTTGAGTGGTCGGACAGGCATTGCCTCTGCCTTTGTTAGCGCTGTTATAGTTAGGGCTCCAGGAGATGAACACTCGGCTTAAAAACATCTGCAGTCAAACAGTTTCAGCTCATTTCGAACTCACTCTTCGTTCGCTAAAGTCTTGCCAAACATTTTATGCTGTGTTTTCAGTTGTGAAGAGATTTTTTTTCGGTTAAGTTTTAACGTAATGAACGAAATCGATAAATAAAAGTAGTTATAAGCGATTATTTGGTGTCTATTTTGTGGATTCAAAATCATTAAAAATGTATTCAAAACTTATTGTTTTTGCATCTTTTGTCGCAATCATAACAACGGCTCCATTGGTTACCAAAACAGATAACAACCGGTTGTCTAACTCTATAAACTTTGTAAAGTCTGTACAGTCGGTACCGAAACCGACTCAAGTGACCACAACCAGTGCCCCCACGAGTACTACCAGTACTTCCAGCACTAATAAGGAGCGAAATTGGTTACTGACCAAAGCCTGGCTCATCGATAATATCAATCGTTTGAGACACGAGTTTAATGAACTGGAAAGAGATTACGGCCATCACGTCGAGAGCTCAGAGACCATGAATGTTATGAAAGACAAGAAAATGGTCGAAGAAATGGCAACTTTGAGGGCCGACCACTCGGTTCTATCGCAACAGCAAAAGCAAATCATTCAACTAATCAAAAGAAGTCAATTGTCTAATACAGGCTCTTATGTGTCAAAACGCACACCAATTGAAACGACTACTGATTTGCCCAAAAAGTCACATAAGAAAAGACATTCAAATTTCCGAGAATTTGTGAAAAAAGAAGATTCATTTGAAGATCAAACCAAACGCAATATGTCTGAAGTATTTGCAGAGATGTCGGCATTACATGACATTACGATCAATATATTCGAAGATTTAATGGATATTCAGAAGAAAGTGAATCAAAAGTTAGACAATCAGTCATAAAATATAACTAATTATGAGTTCATTGAAAATTTCCAGTCAATTATGTGCTCTATTTTAACGCATTGTATAATGTTTTTATGAGATCTCAGATTAAGTGATAATCAGATGCTTTTGTAATATTATGTTTGTGTAATAAATATCATTAAATGTAATCATTCATTAAATTTCAATGTCTGTCATAGAATTTGCACTGTATTTATAAATATTTATAATTTTGTAAAAACTATTTTTTGTAAATATAAATTATAAAAATAAATAAATGCACTTATTTTCAAACCACGTCTTGTTTATAAGTTTTCATTAACCAATCAGTAGTTTGCGATTCAAATTAGCAAACTATTAGTAAAGTTACTAACAATTGTCTTCTCATCG